GATTACATGAATTTAAAAAGCTTTTGCAAACAAAACCAATGCAGTCAAAATTAGAAGGAAAACAGGAAACTGTGGAAAATTTATTTTTACAGCAAGTGTCTCTGATAAGGGCCTCATTTCTCCAATATTTAGGGAACTATGCCAAATTTATGAAAATAAAAGCCATTCCCCAATTGACAAGTGGCCACAGGATATGAACAGGCAGTTTTCAGTAGAAAATTTCAAAGCTATCAATAGTCACATGAAAAAATACTCTAAATCACTGATTTAGAAAACTGCAAATTAAAACAACTCTGAGATACTACCTCACACCTATCAAACTGGCTAACAGGACAAAAAAGAAAAATGATGAATGCTAGAGGGGATATGGAAAAATAGGGCCCAGGGGCAGCTAGGTGGTGCAGTGGATAGAGCACTGGCCCTGGATTCAGGAGGACCTGAGTTTACTAGCTATGTGACTCTGGGCAAGTCACTTAACCCCATTGCCTAACAAAAACCAGAAAAAAAAAAATAGGGACTCTAATACACTGCTGGTAGAATTGTAAATTAGTCCAAGCGTTCTGGAGAGCAACTATGCCCAAAGGGCTATAATGTACACACCCTTTAAAGCAACAATACCGGTAGGTCTATAACCCAAATGGAGATCAAAGAAAAGGAAAAAGGACCTATTTGTACAAAAATTTTTAAAGTAGCTCTTTTTGTGGTGGCAAATAACTGGAAATTGGGGGATATCCATCAATTGGGAATGGCTGAACAAGTCGTAGTATATGATTGTGATATAATGCCATTGTGCTATAAGAAATTATGAGCACAATCGTTTCAGAAAATACCTGGGAAGACTTACAGGAACTGACGACACAAAGTGAAGCAAGCAGAATCAGGAGAACATTGTACACAGTAATAGCAATACCGTAATAATTATCAACTGGGAAAGACTTGGCTACTCTGATCAAGACATTGATCCAAGATAATTCCAAAGGACCCGCGATGAAAAATGCTACCCACCTCCAGAGACAGAACTGATAAATTCTGAACGCATGTTGACATCTAATTTTTTAACTTTCTTTATTTTTATTGCTTTATTTTGTGTTTTCTTTTGCAACGTGGTTAATATGGAAATATGTTTTGCATGACTTCACATGTATAATCAATGTCAAATCACTTGTCTTCTCAAGAAAGGGGGAGGGACAAGAAGGAAAGAATTTGGAACTCAAAATTTTTAAAAATTATTGTTAAAAATTTGTTACATGTAATTGGGAAATATTTAAATAAAGGTAATTTAAAAAAAAAATAAAACCTCTTAACTGGATTCTCTGACTCAAATTTCCCTTCCCTTCAGTGTATTAATCAATCACCAAGTGCCAGGCACTGCAGATTCAAAAATAAAAATCAAACAGTCCCTGACCTCATGGACCACACATTTTTATTGGGGAGATAACAGACAACATGTACATGAATAACCATGTGTAAGATATATACAAAATAATTCTCAGACGTTAACACCAGGAGCTATAACGAATTAAAAAAGTCTTCACATTGAGCTGATTCTCAAAAGAAAGAAACTTTCTGAGATGTGGAGTTAAGAAGGGATTCATTCCAAGCATGGCGGAGAGCCAGTAAGAAGCAACAGTGATAGTTGATAAGGTATTTTATGTGAGAAACAGAAAAAAAAAAGGCAGTTTGGCTGTTTCCTACAATTCAGGTAAGCAAGTGATAAAACTGGAAAGGCAGCTTGGATCCAAATGGTAAAAGGCTTTAAACACCAAACAGAAGAGTTTGTATTTTATATTTTATTTTAGAGGTGATAGGTAGCACCTGGAATTTACTGAGCAGGGGAAAGACATGGTCATGCCTGTGTTTTAGAGCAAATGTGTAGAGGATGAATCGGAGAAGGATGGATGGAGAGACCTGAGGCAGGAAAGCAATGCAGCTATTGGAGCAGTGCAGAAGAGAGGTGATCAGGACCTGAACTAGGATGATGGCCACAATATGATTAGAGAGGAGATGTCAGATCAAGAGACGGAGAGATACAAAAGTTAAGATTTGTCAACTGAATGGATATTTGAGGTGAGAGAGAGTGTGACATCAAAGACAATGCCAAAGTTGTGAATCTGAGTAACTAGAACAGGGTGGTGGTGCCCTTGATAAAAATACCTAAGTTTGGGAGAGGGTTAGGTTTTTGGGAAAAAGCTATTCGCTCTGTTTTGGACTATTTTGCAGAGATGTCCAGAGACACCTACCTTGAAATGTCCAATAGGTAGCTGGTGATGCAGTACTGGAACTCAGGAAAGAAACTACCCTCCACCCAGCTGCCCAACTGACACTCCCTAAGTACAGCTCTGTCACTCCCCAGCTCAATCAGCTTTAGTAATTCCCTCTTGCCTCTAGGGTAAGTTACAACCTTAAAGCCCTTCACAAGCTGACTGGAGCCCACTTTTCCTTGCTCATGACCCATTCTCTTCCTTCATGCCCACTACATTCCAGCCAAGCTGTCTTGTTTGCTGTTTGCTATATGTGGCATTTCAGCCCTTTCCCATCTTTGACAGGCTATATCTCCTATGTTTGGAATATACTTTCTCCTTACTTGTGCCTCTTAGAATCCTTAACATCATACAAAGCTTAGCTGAAGTGGCTTCTCTTTCAATGTTTCCCCCAGAAATTACTTGGTAGGTATTTTATATTTAATTGTCTGTACACCAGCACTGGGAAAAAACAAACCAAAGCGAAGCAGGGGGGAAAAAATAAATATATATATATATATATATATATATATGTATGTATATGTATATATCCTCTCCCAGGGGAATGGAACAATTAGAGCTGTTTCAAAAGATTCAAGGTCAAGGTGAATGGTCCACTAAGAGCATGTAACCTAATACCTCCTTTGAGGAAGCCTTCCCTCCTCTAATCTTTCAATCCTGTTCAGACCAACAACCACGGAAGAGCCACCATTTCTTCCATTTCTACCTCATCTAGAGAAAAAAAAAAACATTAGTGGCACCTAGGTGCATGGGGGCAGAAGTGGGAGGGATACCCTGGTCCTCAGATTTTCTCAATCATTGTTTACCTATCACTTTAGTTTTTCTCCAATCCCTCCCCCCCTTCAACTTCCTCCCCCATTCCCATCACTTTTACTTTCACCCCCCTATTCTCCAATTTTTTTCTATCTTCTCCAACTAAATTACCTACCTAAGCTCTCTAACTGTCCCCTCTCTCCAGGCTCTTCCAAGCCCCTTCAATCTAGAAATATCAAGCTTTTAGTCATTCTTTAATATCATTTAATATCATTCTTTTAGTCAACCAGAATAAACAGAAACTCAAGAGTTGGAAGGAATCTTGAAGACCAGCTAGTTAGACCTCTACTTGAACAGAAATTCCATTTACATTTGGAAAAGGGTCCTCCAGCGCCCACTTGACTATCTTCAGGAAAGAGGAATTCACTATTTCCCAAGACAGTCCATTACAAAAACAAAACAAAACAAAAACCCTTTTTACATTGAGCCTAAATCTGCCTTTCTACAACTTTAATCTCATCTAGTTCTTGCTGTGGCCAAGTAAGAAATCTAGTGCCTTTTCTATCTGACAGCTCTTTCAATACTTGAAAAAGGCTTTTCCATCCCCTCAAGTCTTCTGAAGACTAAACATCCTCAGTTTTTGGAAGCAATCATTTTAAGTGCATTGTTCCAGTTGGTCAATGTCCTCCCTGAAATGCAATAACCAGCCCCTCCGCTTGCTATTTCAGATGTGGTCTGACTAAGGCAGAAAACAGATGCAGTGGAAGAATGCTACATTTGAAGTCAGAGAACTTGGGTCAAAGTCCAGCTCTGCAGTGACTGGGGTGGGCCAAGTCATTTCAACTCCACCTCCAAGGTTATGGATACCTCTATTAATACAGCCCAACCCCACTACTCTACATATCTCTTATCCTTTTTTTCCCCTTCATTCTTTCCCATATCCCCTTCTCCTCTACCTTTCTCTCCCATCTATTTACCTGCCCCTTCCCTTTCTTTCTCTTTCCTCACACCCCCACACACCCCTTCTCCCAAGGTGCACCACTTTGACTGTGTGACCCTGGGTAAGTTATTTCACTTCTCTGCTTCCTTACCTGCAAAATGAGGAAGGTGGATTGAATGACCACAGTCTAAGGTCCATGTATCTATGACCCTGTAATCACCTACCTCCCTAGTTCGGAACATTATGCCTCCATTAACGCAGCCCTGGAATCCTCATGCCTCTTGCCCTAAAACTCGTTCAAGTCTTTCTCCCCACCCCCACTCCCTCCCTCCTTTCCTTCCACTGGCCCACATTCCCTTGGTCTCCAGCCCCTCCCCAAGCATCCTCAGCACCCCCTTCCCAGACCTCCACCCTCACCTCTGCATCCCTCCCAAGCTCCCTCTCCCCACGATGTGACATTGCTACCATGTGACCCATGACAAGTCCCCTCACCTCTCCCACTGCAAAAAAAAAGGGGGGGGCTGAACTAGCTCAGAGAATCCCAGATCTGGATCTTGAAAGGGATCCTCCAAACACCTCATTTTACAGATGAGAAAACTGAGACCCAAAGAAGTGGTTTTCCGAAGAACGCACAGAGAGGACCCTAGGATCAGAGACCTAGAGTTGGAAGAGACCTCGGCAGTCCCTTACTCCGACCACCTCATTTTACAGGTGGGGAAACTGAGGCCCAGGAAGGTTAAGCGACTTTTCCTAATTTCCACATAGGAGATCACAAGAAGGGAGGTCCAGAACTGGAAGGGGGGATCATTGGAGGGGTCATCGAGTCCATTCCCCTCCCCCTGCCTCATTTTACAGGTGGGGAAACTGAGGCCCGGGGAGAAGAGACTTGGCAGCGAGGAGGGCGGGATTCAAACTCCGGTCCCGCAGTGTCAGCTCCCGCGCTCCCCCTGACCTCAGGCCCCGAAACTTTGGGGGGAAGGGGCGAGCGGTCCCCAGTGCCGCCCCCGGGCTGCCCCGTCCGCCCCGGCCGCGGGCGCCGCTCTCACCTGGGAGCTCAGCCCGGACCAGTCCATCTCCTCCTCCACGCGAGCCCCGACCGGGAAACTTCGAGCCCGGCCCGGCTCCTTCCCGGCCCCGCCGCCGCCTCCACCGCCTCCCGCTCCTCCCCGAGCCTCCGCCACCGCCCACTTCCTGCCCCTGTCAGCGCCGCGGCCGCTTCCTGCTCCCCGAACCGCCCGCCAATCACGGCGCGGCCCGGCCAATCCGCTCCGAGGGGCGGGGCCGCGCCTCCGGGGGCCGTCCTGGTTGGTGTAGCCCGCTGGCGGGGTGGGGCGTCTCCTGCTCCTCCTTGTCATCCTCCCGGCTTCATCCCAGCAGCATCGGAGATTTCAGAACCGTGCGCTAGTCTAGCCTAGTCCAACTCCCTTCCTTTACAGGGGGGGAAACTGAGGCCTGCCTAAGGTCCCGGTAGTGGGGACTGAACCCAAATCCAATGCCCAGGGTTGCCATCTCCATCATCTCGGCCCCCGGGAGGATATTCGCTTTAGTGAAGTCGTAGGATCCAGCCCAGTACCTGGCATATAGTAGCTGCTTAATAAAGGTTTATTGACTGACTGACCCGTCAATCAATAGGCAAGCATTTATTAGATGTCTTCTATCTGCCAGAGTGGGAATACCCAGCCCCAAATTCATGTAAGGGGGTGAGGTTCCCCCCTCCCTTGCCAACACCACTATGGCATTAAGGGAGCAGAGCCTACAGGCTAGACGGAATCTATTATGTATAATAGCTAGCATATAACGGTAACAACAACTAACATTTATATAGCGCTTTAAGGTTTGAAAGGCACTTTCCAGGTATATTATCTCATTTTATCCTCCCACCAATCCTGGGAATATTATTATTATTCTCATTTTGCATAAGAGGAAACTGAGGCAGGCAGGTGAAGTAATTTGCCCTGGGTCAAACAACTAATAAATGTCGGAGAGGCAACATGGTCCAGTGGATAGAGAGTAGTCCTTAGAACCTTAAGCCTGAGTTCAAATTCTGACTTTGATACATACTGGCTGTATGACTCAGGGCAAGTTACTTAAGCTCTCTGTGATCTAGACAACTCTCAAAGACTATCAAGTTGCATTAATATAAGGAAATTTCCTCGCCTGGAAGTTCCCTATACCAATGAAATCACAACTTTAGTTCCTACGTCTATTCTATACAAGTTCTTGTTGGTAGATTGAGGACAGGAATCGTTATTTCATTTTCTTCTGTTCCCAGCACCAAGCTCCGCGTGTGGCATGTAGCAGGCATGTCAAACGGTTTATTTGAAGGAACTGGGCCCCAGACTCAGAATCATCAGAAAGGGAAAGAGTGTGCGTTTGTGAGTACGTGGAGAGGAGGGGGGAGCTAGCTGGAGGCAATTTTCCCCTCCCCACCCCCACCCCCAGATGTCCCACTTCAGGGCTCTGTAAACCACACCAAACCACTCCTCCTAGGTTTCTTGAACAATTAACATCTTGCATTTCCAATATATCCCAAGCATGACAGACTTTTCAGTTTCATTTTCTTTTTAGGAATTCACTCACAGTAAGTCTTATTCCCTAGAAAGTAGGCAAAATACGGAAGTTGCTATATCCTAATTCCCACAAGAGAAACCTGAAATTCCCACTGATGTGTGATCGATTTCTTGCTGCTTTTCTCTAGTTTCTTTCACTGGGTGGCCCTCAATAAGCTACTTAAGAAGAACCCTGACCCTCATTTAACGTTCTTGGTAATAGTCACTTAATGTTCATCAAGGCTTCCAGGATCAGATAAGAAGAACTGAGGAGTTCCAGTATTTAGAAACGTTTGTTGCTTTTTATACATCAAAGAATAAATAAATTAGCAATGTGTACTCAGAGGAGAAAAAAAAAATCACACACATACACACCTAATCTGTGAGTTACACAGTTTCTGTGATGCTTCATGGAAAACAACAACAATATTTCCATTTCAAGGATTACACTAAGAAAACTGATGAACAATGGGGATTTAAAGTAGCATCCTTCCCTGACAATGACTCAGATACCAGGGTCTTGCTTGGCCTTTGAAAGAAAGAAATTTCATTCACACCTGACTAATAATTGCTGTGGGAGTAGGCAGTTAGTAAACTTGTCATAGCAATACCCTCAGTAATGAGAAATGTCGGTTGAGTTGAATCAGCTCTGATTTCCTTTCTCATTTTTGAGGATACCTGAAAATTGAGTGTTTCCTGAATATACTGGAAGATCCAGGATCTGATGAATCACATTCACAGGACAAGTGATTACCTAAAGAAGAAATCAAGCAGGGAGGGATCTCTTCTAACTGGGTAATAGGGAAATATAGGGGCAGAAGGAGGTCATGATAGAACTCAGACTGGAAGGGAAAGATTTTGACAAGTAGGTTGCAACTTTCCTACCTTATACAGGTAGTAAGGAGTAGAGTCAGGGTTCAAACACAGGTCCTCTGACTCCAAATCCAAAGTTCTTCCCATTAAACCTTATGGAATAAAAGGTTCTATTTGTTGTTTGCCTATATGCATGTGTGTGGGAGCAGGTGATGGGAGGTAAAAGAGTAATGGATGAGGGAGGTGTCTTGGAAAGAGCCCTGGACTCAGTGGAATGACCTAGACTGCCAATCAAGATAACTTGATTGTTACCTTCCCTACTGAAACCTGTCTTTTCTCCTATCCTTCCTATTTCTCCTGCTGGCACCATCATTTTTAATTCATCCAACCTCTAAACTTGTTATCTTTGACTTTTCCCTCTTTCTTACCTGATATATCCAGTTTCCTGCCAATCTCACACCCCATCTCTCCTCTGCAACATCCATCTTCTCACTTTTGTTCAGGCCCAGATCATCTATTTCTTTCCTGGGCTATTGTAACAGCCATCAGTCTCTCTCCTCTTCAGCTTAATCTTGGCATAGCTGCCAAAGTTATCTTCCTAGCAGGTCTGATTGGGTTGCTTAAAAAACTTTAGTGGATCACCAGTGCCTGAGCAATGAAATATAAGTTCCTCCTCCTGGCATTCTAGGCCTGCCACAAGCTAGATGCAACCTATCTTCCCACCCTAATTTTTAGCATGCAATTCCCCCTTGCACTTTATGTCCTACATGAACTGGATCACATTCTGCCTTTGGACAGTAGGACCATAAATCTAGAGCTAGAAAAGATTTCAAAAGTTATCTAGTCCAACCCCTTCTTTTTACAGAAGAGGAAACTGAGGCTAAGTGATTTGTCCACAGTCACCCAGCTAGTAAGCACCCAGCTAGTAGGATTTGAAGCCAGTTCCTCTGATTCTAGAGCTCATACTCTTTTCCTTTGTACCATGGCTATGCATCCTTTCTACCAACGATTCTTTTTATGGGCACCTCTATCTGCTGAAATCTCTCTCTCTTCATGGTTGAGCTCTATTGTGAGTTCTCTCCTCTAAAATTTCCTGATTATCCAACTAGAAGAGATCCCTCCCTACCTGAAACCCTCTTTAGACCACTCCTTTGAGCTGATCATATTTTGTCCTACACCCCCTCTGCTAAACTGTATGCTCCTTGAGCATAGGGACTGGGTCATTTTTTTTTTGTGAGACCCAACATCTATCACCATATTTTCCTTCTATCCTCCCTTCTCTTCTCTTTTCATCTTCTTCTTCTTCTTCTTTTTCTTCTTTTTCTCCTTCTTCTTCTTCCTCCTCCTCCTCCTCCTCCCTTTTCTCACTCTTTTCCTTCTCTCTCTTCTCCTCCTTCTCCCTCTCCTCTTCCTCCTCTTTCTTTTTCTTCTTATCTAAATTTTAACTTTCACTAATGAGTTAACTGTTCAACCACAAAAACAAGAATATAAGAAAAAAATCAGAAAAATGAACAAAAAGATGAAAAAACTAAGAAATTATAAATAATTATGTACATGTCTATAAACCCTTATGTGCATATTGACTTTTAAAAAGCTGTCTCCAAAGCCTCCTGGATTTTATGATCCCTTTTGACATTTTTTTCCCATGCATAGAATGTGACTTTGTTCCCTCAATTGCTGTCTTTAACTATATAGTGGTTATCAGTGCACATATATATATATTTTAATCCAGCATTTATGTGGTACTTTGAACTTTACAAAATGCTTTATGAATATTATCTTATTTTATTCTCATAACACCTTTGGGAGGTAGGGGCTGATGAGGAAACTGAAGCAGACAGAAGTTAAGTGACAAGCTCAGGGTCATCACACAACTAGCAAGTGTCTGAGGCTGAATTTGAAGTCAGGACTCTCTGTCTCCAGGTGTAGCACTCTAGACCTTGTGCCCCCAGCTATCTCTTTTGGCTCACTTTCCTTAACTCTACATCGCTTCGTGTAGGTCTTTCCACCTTGCTTTGCATTCTTCAGATTTCTCATTTCCTATGGCACAATGATATTACCCTTAGCACTTTACTTAAGCTCCCTGGGCCTCAGTTTCCTTATCTATAAAATGAGAAGTTTAGACTAGATGACTTTTGAGGTCCTTTCTGGTACTAGAACTATTATCCTATGATCTTATTCTCTTAATTAATATTGGGGTCAAGTATGAATGTTATTGTGATATAAAAAAGATAAATATGAAGAATTCAAAGACAAAACAGAAAACCTACACAAAGAAATAAAAGAATAAAGAAAATATTAATATATTCATATTCTTTTAGATACTCCTCAATCATTGGAGACTTAGCTCAGTTTCAGTTTTCTTTGTTTTTACAATCTCTTCCAGTTGGATCTCTATTTATTTATTTGTTTGTTTGTTTTTTATGGGTAGGTCTTTTCCCCTTGTCAATAACCTCCTTGTGGTATAGTCTTAGTAGTGAGACAGCTGGGTATGAACAGCTTTGTAATTTGTTGCATAATTCCATAATCCCTGCCAGTTGGAGAAATTAGGGTAATTGTCTAAGTAGAATAATAGGATGTTACAGCTTTAAGAGATCTTGAAAATCACCTTATATAAACTTTCCATTTTTATAGATGTGGAAGCCATGGCCCAGAGAAAGGAAGTAACTTGCTTAAGGTCCCAGAGTTACTAAAAAGCTACAAATAGAGCCAAGATGTCTGAGAGCCCACTTTCCTGATTCTCAGGCCATTCTCTTCCCATGAAAG